CCTGAGGAGAGGTAGAGCAGCATCGTCGAAAACCCACAAGTCCAAGCTCTGCTGCCAACCAGCTTGTTGTGCTGGGGAAACAGCTCAGCCACCGAGAGCTCCTGTCCCTTGGGAGAAGCAGGGAGCCCTCCACCCATGGCAGAGACGCTGTGTGGGCCTGGCAGGCGTGGTTCATCTGTGGGCTCTGGACACGCAGTCGTGTGTGGCAGTGGGGACAGAAGAGAGCCAGGCCACCCTGGCTCTGGGTCTGTGTGTGGCAGCTTTGCCTCCTGAGATTTCCTGACGAAGAAGACAGAGTCACACTACGTGACGTCCACTCAGCTCAAGCCGCATCCTAGTTAGGATGACACCTGCCTCCTTTACTTTTCTCTTGGGATCGCTTGCCCCTATCAGGGAGTACTCCCAGGGTCCTGCGCTCTTCCCTGGCCTGGGCACATGCTGCGTTCTCTTTCTGGGCGTTCGTGGCCATCCCCATAGCTCCCCAGTCCACACCTGCTGGGCTGTCACCGCCGCCCTGTCTGGAATCCACCACAGCCAGGACTTCTGCAGTTTGGTGCTGCAGACAGAAGCATTCTCCATGTGTTCTTGCTGCACCCCCACCTGCATGCCCTATCGTTCTGTTCCACTTGTTCTGTGTATGTGGGGGTGACAGCCCCACCTAGCCTCCTGCGAGGAGCACCCCGTGGGCTGGCCGCAGTGAGGAGCCCTTCTGCTGGTTTGCCATGATGCCTGTCTATGGTTCCACAAAGCATCGCTTCTTTGTCCAAGCTACCTTTGCTGTGGTTCTGTTGGGTTGAATATAAGCCAAAGCTAGCCTGATGGTACAAACCTGCAATCGTAGCACTCGGGGAGGCTGAAACAGGAGGACAAGTTCAAGTCAAGCCTGGGGAATTTAGTGAGACCCTGTCTCAAAACTGAAGAAAAAAAAAGTGGGCTGGAGGTGTAGCTCAGTGTGAAGGGGCTAAGTTCAACTCCTTGTAACACACACACACACACACACACACACACACACACACACACACACACCCTAAACCTTTTCCTGGGACACCCAAGGCCCTTCCTGGCAGCCTCTGGCTGCCTTCCTTCTAGTGCCCTGGGGCCGCACCCAGCTTCTCAAGCTGCTCACAGGGTTTCATGGGTCCAGCCCTCTTCCCACCCTGCTCCACTCCTCAGTCCAGTCTCCTCACCTGCCCTACACGTGGCTCAGGAACGACAGGTGCGTTTCTCCTCCTGCAGGCCTCTCTGGGCTGCCGCCAGTGGCTCCTCCGGGGGTCTCCATGGCCTCTCCTGAAGCCATGCCTCAGATGCTGTCCTTTCAGGTGCGCCTCCACAGTGAGGCACAGTGGCAGCACCCTGCTCCTGGCACAATGCTCAGCTCTTGGGTGGGGGATAAGTAAACATAGTCTGTGAATTTTTGGGGGGAGTGCATGGGAATCTTAGGGGTCTAATATTACCTGCTGTATCTAAGAGACCTGCAGAAGGGACAGATTCTTGAGAACTCCTGCGGGTGCTGAGAAAACCTCACAACTAGCTGCTGCCCTACATTCCTGGCACCACCTGTCTCTGGCAACCCTGCTTTGCTGCGACGGGCTCCAGCTGGCTGCAAGCAGGAACTGAGGGTAGATGCAAGCCTGGGCACTGCGGCTGCATTTGGGAAAGGAGGCGGAAAACGGGCTTCGGTGGTCCGGGCTCCAGGAGTCAGAGCTGGTGTTTTCCCAGGAGCTTCTGTCCTTGTGTTCTGCAGAAGCTTTAAGCACAAGCAACGCCCTTTGTGGACACAGATATGAAGCTGGCAACTGTGTGGGTGAAGGCAGTGACAGCAGGCAGGGGCAGAGGCTGTGTGATCCACGCTTCCCATTGTCTAGGGGTGACGGCAGCCAGCTAGTCAGGACACAACCGTCCCCATCACCCTGCCCACAGCCTGTGATGTCCGAACTGAACACATCCAAGAAAGATTCAAACTTCTTACAGAGATGATAACTCCAAGAGGAGAAAAATAAAAGATGTTTTCAGCATTGGATGACACATGAAATGCATCAAGAAAAGCAAAACCTTTCCTATGAGCCTGCCCTGAGCAAAAGGTTATCAGTTATTATTTTTGTTTCATGGGTATAATTTTTTTCCTCAGATCTTTAAGGTTATTTTTATTATTTCTAGAATGCCAAAAGCAGTGCTTTTGCTTACAGTGATCTAGCTGGGGCAGCTCTGTAAATGAAAGAACAACAGAGATAAAATGAGCTTCCAGTGAGACATGAGGAAGTTATTGCCTTCAGTGCCGGCGTGTGACATGTTAAGTGCTGGAAAGAAACCTGAGCTGTAATTCCTTAAAAATACTTTATTTTTTATTTTTTTGAAAATTGAAGCAAAATGAATTTAATTTCTGAGCTGTTCATGGCAATTAAAAAGCAATCCATCTGTAATAAACTGCATACATTTTCCAATGAAGAAAGCATACAAACTTTGAAACGCTAATGAATAGAATTATAGATAGATTTAGAAAGTAAACTCGAATAAAAATGACTCTTTTCCTTTTATAGTAATGTTTGGCCTTAATTTTGGTGCTATTGAAAGCATTTATATAAATCAGATTCAAGTTATTTAGCTTTCATCCAGAATGTTTAATTTCTAAAATGTTAAGTCATACCGTGGGCCCCTGTAGCATTAGTAATTGCTTCTCTTTAGAAGAAATACATTTAAAAGGCCAGCCAGATAGCTCAGCAGACTAAAGTGCCTGCTTAGGCAGACACAGGGACTGGGGTTCAATCCCCAGAGTGCCACGCCAGCCCTGCCGCTGGGGCACGCTGAGATGGCGATTGAGACTGGGCATGGTGGTGCGCATCTGTAATCCCAACACTTGAGAGGCTAAAAATAGGAGGACCACTATGCGTCTGATCTATGTAGTGAGACCCTGTAGATTCTGTACTAAATACAAAACAAAACAAAACATTTAGAAAACGTGCCTGTCCACATCTTTTTAGGAACACATGTATTGAGATAAGAAATGATTTTAAAGTGTATATTTACAGCACCTTCTGGGATTACATTTAAAGTTAGCAACACTGCAGTGGTTTCCCATTAGCAGCAGAATCTCTTGCCCAGCCCTGTAGCAATAGTCTTAAGATGGGATGTCTAGCAAGATCATGAAACTTAACATTATGGCCTGAAGGTGCATCCACTTTCCTACAAATGACTCAGGTTTATCTTTTTTCTGGCAGTGTAGTACTCCCTTGTAAATGTGTGGAAATAGCACATTTTCTTTATCCACGCAGCTGTGAATGGACGTGTAGCTTGCTTCTAAGCTTACACACACTCACGAATTGTGCTAGCAAGAATATTCCCTCCAGGAACGTGAACGTTATGTGCTGCAGACACGTACCCACGATGAAGAGATAGCATCGTAACACTGACCCAGAAGACACAAGATGAAAACAAATCTTTCTGTCAGACTTCTGCAGTCCCCCTAATGAGCCCTGACTGGTCTATAAAAGCTAATGTGTGTCGGTCCCTTTATTGGAAATAAAGCATCCAGAGAGGCTGGAGAAAAGGGTCCCAGCAAACCGCAGCTTCAGAAGCAGGCGCCCCCTCACCTGCAAGGGGCCCGAGATGTTGAACGAGATCCTCTTTGCTTCCTCACACTTGCTTCCTGCAGCCTTAAGCTCTTGCACCCCCCCCCCCCGCCCCATCTCTCTGATTCCTCTTCTGCCGTCTGCCTGCGCAGCACCTGCTGGCCCGGATGGACTGTCTTTCTTCACATCCTCACCTTGGTGAATTCTTCCTATGCCATCTCCCCCTCCCTCCGCACGTCATCTTGCTTGACACATTCTTCCTGAAGATCATTCAGTGTAAGATTTGGCCACAGAAGCTCTGGCCAAAACATGTCAACTAGAACCTTATCACTGTGGAGAAAAATCTAGGCTGGATTTGCAGGCCACAGGCAGGTAGTGCTGCCTGAGCTCAAGTCTTCCCTCATCTGTTTCTGAGCTCTTCCACGGCTCAGTTGCTTCATTAGTAACTGAGGACTAATAGTCCCTCCTTAGCTTTGTTGGATGATAAATCAATTTATAAAAAAATTTTAGGATAGTTAATGACTACACAGGAGAGCCTCAAAGATATAAGAAACTTGAAACTGGAAAGCCCATTCTTTCTGAAGCATCCATAGGAATCAAGGGTGACTTAGTTGTTCAATGATGTTTTATTCATTTATTTAAATTTTACCAGTACATGTTTGCAGCGCTGTATACAGTGCCTACACTCATGGTAGAGGGTAGATTTTTTTTTTTTTTTTTTGTATTTTAGGGAAGGGTCTACAGGGTGTTCAGGGTTTCACTACTAGACCATGCCCAGTCTCAATTGCTGTCTCAGCGCGCTCCGGGGCTGGGACCTGCACAGTAGGCCCAGGGTTCGAACCCCAGGTCTCTGTGCCTGCCTGCAGGCTTTTTAATGTGCTGAGCTATTTGGCCGACACTGAGAGTTGATTGATGTACAACAACCTTCTTTTTTACCCCTTTCCACTCCAGATGCCTTTTTAGTGCATTCAACCTCTTCAGTAAAGCAAATCATCTTCAGTAAAGTCTAAATTACTTGGATTAAAACATTCTCTGTTCATGTCCTAGCACAAAATATTGAAAACCAAAATGAACTACAAGGGGGAGAAAAAAAGAGAGAAAAAAAAGAAAGAAAGAAAGAAAGAAAAGAAAGAAAGAAAAAAAGACCAAAAGAGGAGGGAAAAAGCTGGCGAGGGGACAGGGCTGGGGAGTTGTCAGGCGTCATTGTGTTCTGGTGGCCCGGCAGCCTTCTGTAAACACCAGGAGAGGAGGGTAGGAAATCAGAGCCCGGAACGATCGCTATCAGCCGGGCAGAGCTGCTCCTTTCTTCCTGGTCATTTCCCTTCCCCAGTGTCTGTAGGAACCACCCGCTCGGGTGGTTCTCAGGATTGTAGGTTTTGAGGTCAAACAGGAACCCTGGGGCATGCCTGGAAAAGCTGAACAAGCGGTGGCAGCCTGCGCAGGCCGGATGACTCGGAGCCTCCGCTGTCTGCGCAGCCCCGGCCTGGGCGACACACGCCTCCCAGTCATCAGCAGCCAGGAGCGCAGTGACCCCTGCGACGCTCTGTCCTGAAGCAGCTGGTACAGCTGAGGGTCTTCTGAGGGGACCCTAGGGGACCTCGCCCACCCTTCGTTCATCGCGCAGCCTCGGGCAGCGAAGCCTGCCCTGTGTCCTCCCTCGGTCTCCATGCAGGACACGCGGGAGCAGCTGCCCGTGACTGTCCACCTGCTCGCCGACTCTGGCCACGGCTCCTTGCTGCAGCAGGCTCTGGACCAGCTCCTGGACTGCATCTGCCCTGAGGTGCGCCTCTTCCTGGTGTCCGAGCGGATGAAACCCTTGAAATGCTACGAGAAGTGCCACCCTCGGCGTTCCAGGTTCCCCAGCATGTCCGTTCTGCTCTTCTTGCAGGACAGTCCGGGAGAGGAGCGGCTGCTCCGTGCCCTGGAGGTCCTGCGGCAGCCGCCCTGGCAGTACTACCCTCCCCAGGACGCACAGGGGAGGCTGGGTCCCCACCTCCTCGCCAGCCAGGAGTTCTACAGCCTGGACAGCCAGATGCCCATCTGGGGTGTGAGGCAGGGGCCTGGTGGCGCGGAGCTCGTCAGGCTGACGCTCTACTGCAGCTTCGACAACTATGAGGACGCCGTCAGGCTCTATGAGATGATCCTGCAGCAGGAAGCTACTGTGCACAAGACCAACTTCTGTTGCTTTGAGCTCTGCGCCACTGAGAGCTTCTCCGTGCAGCTTTCCCTGAAGCAGCTGCCCCCGGGGACAGCAGTGGACCCCAAAGAGTCTTCAGTGCTGCAGTTCAAGGTTCAGGAGATCGGCCAGCTGGTGGCTCTTCTACCCAACCCATGTGTCCCCATCAGCAGCACCCGGTGGCAGACCCAGGACTATGATGGCAACAAGATTCTGCTACAGGTATGTCTCCTTCACCCTTGCGGTCTTGCTCAGCCCTTTAGGACTGACTTGTTTTATGCCTTAAAGGGTGAGTCAAGTCTAGTGGTCCTCCAGCTTGGTTGCACATTAGGACCCCAGGAACTGTCTGAGATTTCCATGCCATGACTGACCCAAGACAGTTGGGCCAGGCTCTCTGGGGGTACCAGAGATTTTTTTTTTTTTAAATCTTGGATGATTCTAATATGTAGTGTGGTCAAGAGTCACCAGTCTAATACAATCTCCCTTGGGACAAATAAAGAAGTCCAGACTCAGCGACCTTGTGGCTGACAGGCAGTTTGTAGTAGAATTCGATGTCGCTCCCTCCCTAAATTGCTCTGGCCATACAGGAGGACTCCTGTGCCCACTCTAAAGGCAGGATCAGTGAGCCTTTCTATCTGCTCTAAAGGAGCTCAACTCATCGATATGTTTGGGAGGTTAAATTTGTAGGACTAGGGCTTAGGTTCTTCATAAACTCGGGGAAGGGGATGTTGGCATTTTTCACAGTAAAACTTGATGTCTATGCAAAATTATACAACATTCATAAAATTCATCATTAAGATAGTACCCAAAATTTAGTTTTTACTACAATTGTTCCTATTATGTGTAAATTAAGGGATTTTTCCCAATGGGTAATTTTATTTAATCCTTATAACAATCTACAAAGTCCCCATTTTTCCTAATTTACAGATGAGAAAATGAGGTATGAGAGGGTCTGGTTACTCACCCAAAATACAGCTGGGAAGTGTATCATCTTTGCAGTCCGTGTGCCTAGCGAACCTTGTAGCACAGCATTCTACAGATGTGTGTGTGGGTAACTGCAGGGTCAGAGGGCTATCCGTGTGCTTTACAGCACCATGTTCTGTGCCTTCTCTTATTGAGAAACAGGCAGGAACCCCTTTAAGGCTTGTTGGATAAAGAAATAAGAGACTTTAGTATGAGTCATCTTTCCCTTTAGTAAACTTTGTTGTCAATGCTTTGACTTCTAAATGAGTAAAACACGGGTCCTGCTGATTCCATAATAAATGATTTCTAAATCCTTCACCTCAGTCTCAAAGGTGGATAGTCCCTCTTCTTTTAAGTTGCTTGGTATACAACTCCCTACTTTCCAAGGCATCTGCAGTTTCTCTTTCAGTCCTAGTTAATCAGCAGAATTTAAAATCGCCCTCCCTGGCAAACACCAACATAAATGTGTGTGTGTGGTGGAGGTCATGTTCTGACTCACTCGTTTTAAAGGCTAATTGATGTTTTCTTCTCTGGAGCCACAGCTCATACGATTGCTGTAGTTAGCTGGGAAAGTTGAATCAAATCTGGGGAGGGTGCAAGAGTTCTTTGGAAAGAAACAAAAACCCATGAGGGATATCAAAGTAACCCCCTTTCTCTTGGGATTGTTGTGGTCTGGTCATCTAGGTGGGTGCACATTTTCAATTTCCTTGGAGACACCAGCTTTTTCCTGATCCCCTCACAAGCTCTCAAACTTTGTGCATTCTGCTTCCCCCTCCAAGACGCTGACCTTGGTCTTCTCCCCATTGTCTCACCATACCCATGACTCCGAGCTTTTGTAAACAAAACCAGAGATTGCCTTCTGGAAAATTCTGCTCTTCACAGAAGTGCTGAGGGAAGTGTACAAAGGTAGAACAGCAGTATCAACCCATGACTATTTTGGTTTCAGTTGGGAGTGCGTTTTTCGGGATAAAAAGCCCAGCCCAAACTTTCGTGGGGTGGAGGTTGTGGAAAGGAGCCTGGTGGCTGTAGATTTGGCGTTTGTAAGTGTTGTAATCTATACCTACATGTCCTCCCAAAGCCTCATGCACTCGTATGTGGAACTTTGAGAGGTGACTGGATCATCGGGGCCAAAACCCATCATTGGGTGAGTTTATAATCAAATGTGGTTTAGGAGATGAATCCCAGTTCCTGGACATTTCTGGGGTATGGCCTGGAAGGAGCTATTTCCCTTTCTCTGCTTGCTGGCTGTGAGCAGCTTTCCTCTGCAATGTCCCTCTGTGGTGCCACCCTGCCTTGGAGCCAGCTGACTATGGCTTGGGCCAAAGGAAACCACTCCTACTTTAAGATGTAGGTGTTGGGTATTGTGTCTCCGCTAAAAAAAAAAAAAAAAAAAAAAAAAAAGTAACAGAGACTATAAGTAAGTGCAGGCCTTAAACAGCAGGCTAGATCCAGCTCTGACCCCTGCTGACTTTGTTTCAGCTCTGTCATCAGATGGGCTTCCCCTTCTGAGATGGCCAGCTGGCCACTGGTGTCTCTGAGGACCGTGTCCTTCACGTGGGCTCTCAGCACCTCACCCAGCCATGGTCACAGCATTCTGGATTCCAGCGCTGTTGGACTGGGTTGGATCCACTTGTCTCATCTACATCAGTGGTGATGGTCAGGAGAAAGGGGCTGAGGGGACTGGTGTAATCCTGGGGAGGAGGGTCTGCTTTCTGCTTGGATTCTGTGTTGAGCCAGACTGACTCTGACCCTCATGGAGGGTGAGGAGCACAGTGAAGAGCAGAGCTGAGGAGATGGATGACGGATGTCCACCAAAAAATAAGAAAAACATTGATGGAAAATCATAAGCGCAAATTAACCACCGATTAAGCTCTCCAGAGATATTCCTTTCCCAGGGCCAGCATGATGGAAGCACTCAGGGGTCTGAGTGTGGGGTGCTAGGCCCCAGGGGTCATGGAAAAGTGCTCCTGAGCGGGACACCTGCCATGCGTGAGTGATGACACAGAAGAAGTTCGCCGGTTGGAGAGGGAGGAACATGTTCCTGGCAAAGGAGTTGATGGGGTGCCTGACTGAGAGTCCGTGTGGCCGGAGTGAAGGGAATGGGTAGCCAGAGAGACCAGGCTACCAGGAGCAGGCTGTCATAGGATGTAAGCACCAAGAGGGCGGGGTCTTTTTATCTTATGCCAGCTAAGCTTGCACCTACCTGAGTGACAAGTGGTAGGCAGGGACATAAATACATTTACTTATTTATTCACTTAATTATTTATTCACACATTTATTTGTGGCTCTGTAGATGGACCGATCCATCTACATGCTAGCCAAGTCCTCTACCACTCAGCTACATCTCCAGTCCTTTTTTTTTTTTTTTTTTTGCTTTATTTTAAGGTAGTATCTCAATAAATGATGCGAGCTGGCCTTCAGCCTCCACAGTGGCCAGGAGGAATGCCTTGTAAAAGAGCTTCTATTCTAATGTTAGTGTCACATGTGGTCACTGGTGGGTCCCACGAATGATGATGATGTGTATAACCAGCCCCGTGGGAATCAGAGGAGGGCTATTTTGGAGGGGCTGTGGAAAGGAGAAGCTGCAAGAGACCATGCAAAAAAAGGGCAAGTGTCCTCTGTGTGTCTCAAAGGCTGGGCTGGCAAGAGAGCTCAGAAGACTAAGCCCTGCCTAGGCAAGCACGGGACCAGTGTTCCATCCCCACCATCACGTGCTGCACGGCCCTGCCCTGGGCATGCTGAGCTGGCCATTGAGACTGGTCATGGTGGCGCAGGCCTGTAATCTCAGCACTGGTGAGGCTGAAAACAGGAGAGTCACAATGAGTCCGAGCTGCATAGTGAGACCCTGTACCAAATACATAAAAAAAAAAAAATCTCAAAAGCATGTGTGTAATGTCAGTGTGCTAAGGTGATGCAGTCTCAATTGAGCAAGTGTTTTTGTCAAAGCAACTACAGGCAGCATCTCCACTTAGCTGCTTCTGGTTCTTTCTGTTCTACAGTCAGGCCCTGTTGTCTAAAGACACATTCTTTGTACTTTTTATAAAATTGCACCCAACTTGCTGTACTTAGAGCCTCTCTTCCCGGGCTTACCTGCTGTCACCTATCTCTTGAGCTCCCCCTGATTTAGACAATGCAATTGTAGATCCTTTGACATTGGCATCAGGATTCCGGCAGACACAAAATTCCAGGTCACTGATGAGCTTATTCTGCTTGCTGTTCAGTGAGGAATAGTAAATCAGAAAGGTGAACTGACCCTGGAAGTTACGTAGAATGTCCTAGCAGACTTTAGAGTATGGGATGAGGCAGCCATGCCGTGGTGTGGCAGTTGGGACTTAAGTGCCCCTCAAAGGGTATGTGCTCAAGGTTTGGCCCCCAGCTTGGCACTATGGGACATAGTGGGGCTTTAAGTGGTGGGGCCTGGTGGGAGGTCCTCAAGTCACTGGGGTGAGCCCCTGAAGAGGATGGTGGGAACCAGACCCCTTTCCATGAGTGCTACTTGATCAGAGCCTTCAAAGTGGAGAATTAAGAAGGAAATTCAAGATGTCCTTGGGTAAGGTGGAGTTGCAGAGATAGATACGTACAGTGGCACATATTCATTTTTATTTATTTATTTTTTTGCTGAACCAGGTATTGAACTCAGGCCCTTGTGCTTGCCAGGGAAGTGCTTCTTCTACTGAGCCATCTCCCTGGCCCCAGTGGCACATATTCACTCCTAAGACGTGATGAAATTCTGATAAATGGTATAACATGCATAAGCTTAAAGACATTATGCTAAGTGAAATAAGCCAGACACAAAATGACAAATGTCACGTGATTGCACTCCCATGAGACACCTGGAATAGACAAGTGCCTAGAGACAAAAAGTAGAGCAGTAGTTACCAAAGGCTGCAAAGAGGGAGGAATGGTGAGTTTGGTTTAATGAATACAAAAGTTCTGTTTGGGGTAATGGACAATTCTGACAATGGATAGTGCTGAGGTCACATGACATTGCAAATGGACTTCATGATGCTGAAATGTACAATATAAAAATCGTTAAAATGGTAAATTAAGTATCCTATGCACTTTGGCAAAATTTTTAAAAAGATGACCTACTAAAGTTTTTAAGAGGTGAAAATAGTAAAGCTTTCTTATGTGTATTTTACCACAATAAAAATAATTAGCTAATTTTTTTTCAAGAAAGAAATATAGATGGAGTGCAAGTGACTCAAAGCAGGATTTAAAGAAAGCCATTCACTCAGGATTTTAGAGAAGGGACAGAT